TTAGGATACTATAAGTAACTGACTTATCTCAAAGCAAATAGTGATTACTCTATGGGTTCTTCAGTACTCTCCTAAATATGAAACCTTAAAAATCACTTAAAATCTTTTAAGTGTTAAGACAACTTAAAGTGGAACAACCACTTGAATTAAAAATTAAATATCTTTCTATACCAAAATTGAAATAAAGCACACATTCATTGTGTGATATACCACACAAGCCAGTATACACTTAAATGCACAACCCATAGGCATCTTAGAATTTTGATTTTTCCTTTTTTGTGTATATGATTGTTGTGTTTGGAGTGAGACTTATTAGATTGTCTGCGTTGTAAGCACTTGCTCTTAACTAGTTAAGATAAAAATATATATGCTTTTTTGCAGGTGGCTATGTTCAAGAGGGGGTAAAAATCTTGATTATCTAATGTTGTTTGCTTGTAGGTGTTGTTTAAAATACACAAAAGGGGCAAAATCAATAGGATAAAAAATAGGGCCTGACACATTAAGTGCCGGACATGTTTGGAATATTTGTCTTATATATTATATGTTTATTAATCCCCTTTTTACATGTTTGTCTTTTTGCATTTTAAATGTAATTAATAGACTTAGAAAGTGTTGTAGGCCTATGAGACACAGTTACAACGGGGACCAGAAGGATAAACCCCTTAGTGAAGCCCTGGATATATCTAGAAATTAAAGCTTAAAGACCTAAAGGCTTTGTCTGTTAAAAAAATGTAATTGGTTGTATAGGACAGGCAACTCAGTTGTCATTCATAATTATAATAATTACGGGCTAAGTGATTATCTTTGATTTTAGTTAATTATTATTATTAATTAGCTATAATTAAGTAAAATTAATTATAATTAATTATTTAATTATTATTATTAATCATTAATAATAATCATTAATTATGCTAACTAAAATTTATTATTTTAATTATGTTAATTATCTTTAGTTATAGTTAATTATTATTATTAATAATTAGCTATAATTAATTAAATTTAATTGTAATTAATTATTTTAATTATATTGAATTATTAATAATAATCATTAATTGCAATTTATTGTAATTAATTATCTTTAATTATAGTTAATTATTATTATCAATTAGCTATAATTAATTAAGATTAATTGCAATTAAATATTTTAATTATAATTAAGTATTATTAATAATCATTAATTTAAATTAAGAAAAAAAGAGAAAGAAAAGACTCCTCTCTTGCCTTAATATGCGTGCCAACACCACTAATACAATTTTCGACCTCGACATTAGCACTGCTGACACTACTACGCAAGGTATATAGTTTCAAATCCCGTCTTTGACGCGCGTGATGCGCCGGTTAACCCCTATACGTGCTCTTGTAGCACAGTAAGAGAGAATCCGATGCGACACATATGACGAGGTGGGTAGGCCCTGTACTCGCTCTTGTAGTTTGGTGCTGACAAACTTAAGTATCTGTATGCGCCTCATTGCCTGCAAGGAAAGAAAACTGTGCATTTTTAGCAGGTATTTTGAAAACCGCATACACGTATTTGTAGCTTGGTGGGAAGACCCAGCTCATCACATTTCCCCCAAATGGGGGATATGTTGGGATGTTGTCAAAATTTTCAGCAAAATAGAGAACCTGTACTTGCACAAATGTAGAACTTAAATAAATGCACATGGAACTTGAATGAAAAGCAGGTAACCAGACTCAAACTGAGCAGACAGGTGATACCTTGAAGACCCTTACACGCTCTTGTAGCATAGTGGGATTGAAGACTACGGTTGTGGTGTCTACGGACACCTACCATACACGCTCTTATAGCATGGTGGGAAGGCCCAACTACATTTTCCCCAAATGGGGGATATGTCGGGATGCTGCCAAAATTCAAACTGAAGTACATAGAACTTGAACAACAAGAAGACTTTGAGCAGCAATATAAAGGGCTTGTACTTGAACAGAAATGTATAAAACTTGAACGATAGTGCTGAGAATTGATTCTGAACTGAACAAACATGGTAATTGAATTGAGCAGCAGGAAACAGATCCCAAAAATGCTAAAATGCACAATTAACTTAAAATATAAATGCAAGATAACAATTTAAATGACAAATGATAAATTTGACTATTCAAATAAATATAAATCAACAAGCTAGGGACTTGTGACAGACAGGACCTCGATGCATACAGATAATGAACAACAGTCAATTCACAGTTTCCAAATAATCACAAACAAGTGTCAATCGTCGATACTGTAATGTATGGTACACAACAGCTGATGCTAATGAATGTAACAAACCACTACAGTAGCCCTTACGAGATCAAATATACAGCAGTTGCAAGCAATAATAGCGAGTGACATAATTCATTGATGTCTTCCACATGCAGTAATGAAATTCCAACAACAAGCAACAACATCTGTAGATTGAAATACAGACATTGGCAATTGATGAAGGGTGATATGTCATTGTAAATAAGTATATACCCGTCCACATATAAATGGTGAAGGTGGATAGTATGCAAGTGCAACGGCTCTCCTACAAGTACGATCAACAGATTATAGTGAACATGAACATCCCCTGCAAGCAGTGATAGTTGATATGATACTTATGGATAACGATAGTGGGTATATCATGAGTACTATGAATCCTCTGTGGACACAAGTACATACGACACATACAAACAGTTGTTGGAGATATGTGCCTACAATCAACAACATGCAATAGTCAGTGTCAGTATGCAGATGAGTATATGAATCTACCCAAGTGACTAACGACCAGTGATGAATATGCACAACAATACTCCTCTCCTACAAACACCTACAACATCGATGATTGAGATGCTGCAATTGATCTTGGTATTGATCTGAGGCATAAGAAGCTGATGAAGCCACATCAATTAGAGGGCTTCAAATTCCTTGTCAAAAATATTATGGCAGAAGAACTAGGTGGACACATCCTTGCTCATGCCTAGGATGTGGAAAAACATTTATGCTTATAAGCTTTATGAGGAGCTTTATTACTCAGAAACCTGATAAAAAATCATTGGTGATTCTCCCTAAGGAGGATCTTAAGCATGTGGAAGAGAGAGTTCCAGTAATGGTAATTGGAATACATACCCTTATTTGATTTCTATTCCTCTAAGGCAGATTTTATAGCATAATAGATAAATATTTTGAAGAGCCGGGAATAAAATGAATTTCATATCCTAAGAAATAACAACACTGCTATTATGCATTCACTTTCAAGAATTAAGACACCTCGGAAGTAGTACTTTCAGGCACACTATTCCAAAATCATGTAAAAGAATTCTTCAATATTCTCAAATTAGTACTACCTAAATTCATGTAGGACGAGTCCTCCCAGAATGTCATGAAGCGCACCCTTAGCAGTGTAGAGATATCAACTGATAAGCGACCAACTAAAGGTTACAAGATCGTGACAAATTGGAGACAAAGCAGTATAATAATGCACTGACTGAGCCTTTGTTCCCACAAGCTTGTGATACATCATCTATCACCAAACGACCTCATGTCGTATAGATGTGTTTACCCAATCCGAACAAAGGTCAGTTGATTTATAAATCCAATCTCCCGGTGAATGGGAAAAGAGAGTCTACATTAGAACAATGAGATATCTTGTGGCAATCAGGTGATAACGCTACAATTCACCTATAAGTAAAAACAGGGAATCAGTAGTCAAAGCCACATGCTAATGAGGTGTAATGCCACGCCACCGGATTTGCAACGTTCGTATGAGCAGACAGAAGGTGTCAATAAAGCCCATGATAAGACCCCGCACAACAATTATCACCTATGCAGTCAGATGTCCCTTTTCATTGCATATGAATGTTCTAAAAATGCCCCTCATATACACATTGCATTTATATGATTATATGTTGCATATGTGTATGTCGCAACTTATAGAACCATGCATGTCATCTAACATTATGGTTGCATATTGAAAGAACTTTCTGCATGAGTAGAATGTTTCACTCTAGTGTGCCATTTGACATCACAATTGCATTTCAAAAGTACTATTGTTCACACACATGAATGCATAGTATGAAATGCATCTAATGGCATATACCTGTGTATGCACTAGTAAGCGCATTGTAAGTACACATGTGACATCTGAGAGTGTCCCGCGGGTTATGATATAAATTTAGATTCGAACCCGATCTTCTGTCAGCGAGTAGACAAAGTCGATAAGATTCATCAACAAAACAAAATAATTATAAATACTCTGGTGATGACCATGTTGAATGTTTATCTCAACCGGAGGGGATTATATATTTTGAAATGCCCATAAAATCCAAAATTTTAAAAAAATATCTTCAAGATATTTAAATTTAAATAAATCATAAAATACTTACAACAAATATAATTCCACCCTCCGTAAAGGTTTGCCGAGGTGGACAAATTTTTAAACTACTCGAGCTCATAAAGAGCTAATGTCTAGTAAAAAATATCACTATGATTCATTCTCAATCTATCTCTTGTTAGGAAGGACGTAACACATGTCTTCTAACCGGTGGTTTTGCAATCAAATGATACTACACAAATGGTATCACCGTTAAATGGCTCCACAGGTAAATGATTATGAAAGGGACCCTCTGAACTAAGTGATTCACCCCAAAATGACATCATTATATTACGGTCATGGTCAACGCCTGTATGCTCCCAAATGACATCAAATCATTGAGCAATGAATCAATAGGATATGCTTGATAAGACACGAAGCCCTTTGTTAGCTAAGGTGGATTCAAATTTGTCCCCTTAGACAAATGCTCACCTCAGGTCTATGAGGTACCTTAGGACGACGCAACCCATGGCTGCTAACAAGGATCCTTCTTTTAGGTTGGGTCGACTACCTCCTCTAACTCAGTAAACTAGGGACCACAATGGCCTGGGATGACGGAACCATGGGATCTTGATCGGCTCATCATCGCTCCCCCGCCCCCACCATCCGCTTTAAGTGTAAGTTGGTGCAATTTTCAGTTTTAAATATCAAAATTTTAAGCACCTCAATCCATGCTGCTACTATATGTCTGATATCGCGTATATACAGATATGACATATTCATTGACGATTAGCCTTAATCGAAAGTTCTCTCTCGTGATCGGCAGCGTAATTAACTATAGGGGCTTGCGCCTATAAGAAACTAGAACTCAGATCATAAAATCCTCGCAAAATGAGGACGAAATTTTTGGGTGTGTCTTACCTACAATCCCAATCTGTCTTCCTAAAATTTTCCCCGGAACTTAATCCATTAAAATTCCCCCCCGATAGCAAAAAGCGAAAGCGCGGAGGGGAGGATGGGGCACAAATTTTCGGAGCCCACGAACTTGTACCCCAAACTAAAAAAAATCATATTCGATCAAATATATCAAGTAGTTAAAAGACTCTGGTAAAATATAAATGCAAATTCTGTTATTAAGAATATATTAAAATAATATTTTTATCATTCAGGGTAATATATTATTTTCTAAGACGTGCTTGATCATAAAATATTCCCTTCTATTGAGGATGAAAAAATTACACCAACAGATGTTTTTTTTTATATTTCAGTTGTTTTGGATTAGGAAGGGTGAGTTAATTTCCAAATGGTAGAGGTTCTAGAGAAGGGCTAGTCTTTGATGAAATTGGATTGTATATTAAATTGTTTTTATGTGGAGATTTGTTGAACAGTGAGGAAGCGAGACTAAAAGTTTTTGGTTTTGGGATCTAATTCATGTTCATTAGTGTGAATATACTTAGTTCGAGTGACATAAAAGAGGGGATAATTGGGTTGATAGAAAGAATCGATTCTATGATGAAGAGATTATTTCAAGATCATAATTCTAAGGTGAAATAGTTTTAATAGTTTCCTAATTATAGTTTAGTTGAGGGAAGCATCCATTGGATATGCTTGAAATGTGTGGGAATATACTTGTTAAAAAACTAACTACATATCTAATAATTGTTTTCAAAATTCGAAACAAGGAATGGTTGCTTCAGTTAGCAATTTGAAACTACCATTATTCTATTCCTTGGGAATTTCTGTATCCCCTTGAAATGAAAGTATTCAAGGAATAAGCATGAGTGGCTGCATCCCCCTTCATTGTTGCCGCTTTTGGTGTAGCAAAGGCCTTGATGTGCTGGAAATCAACAAAAAATAGCCTTTTAGGTGAGCTGTTTGCTGAATTAGGTCATCTTGGTTGCGGTTTTTCTAATCAATGTTGGCTTCTTTAGTGGAGCTTTATAGGCCCTGGATGCATGTTTTGGTGATGTGTAGTTTTTTCTGTCTGGAAGTCAGTGTTTGATTTGTTGAGTTAGCTTTAGCCAACAAGAGCTTTTAATATTCCGATAACTGAATGGTCAATGGAATATGATACACCCACAAACCCGAAGTTCTAAAATTGGGTTAACTTGTAATAGTTATTGAAAGTCTATGCTTGCTGTTCTCTCCTAAAAACCAAAGTCGCATAGCTATCTATTGATGTGAAAGCCAGCACCCCAAAGTTAGTGCAGTCAAAAGGTCTGTAATGCTCGGAGCCATTATATTAACTGAAACATGTGTTCGAAGTTTCTTAATTGTTAATGCTTGAAGTTATTTTAGTTCAATGCTGGGGAAGAAAATCTTACTTCGCTTTCTTACTGTTAGTGCATTCTATTTGCCAACTTATCACTTGTCTTGATGATTCTCTTCAAGTGTTTTTTTTTCTCCTCTATATTATTTCTGTTCTTTATGTTGATTTATTTTGAGTTTGTTTATGAATTTTGCTTCTACATTTAATTCTTGCAACATACGTGCAGGATCCTTGAAATGAATCACAGAAAAATAGGTGCGTCTTAAATATGAGTATGTTTCCATGTTTATGCTATCATTCATTTCATAACGTCATACTGAATAATTGATTCTTCCTATTACCAAGCTTATATTTCTCAAACTTGTCATGCAGCGTTCTTATTTGAGTTGCTAGCTGCGGAATTTATCACATGTAGCTATATGAATTGCAAAAAGTTATGGTATTGTGTGATAAAATATAAATAGTAAACTTTCTTCAGAAGATAAACAAATCAAATATAAAGTTCATTTGTTTTTGTGTATATTAGCAAATGCACATTCGTTTTGATGTCACTAGATGGCTTATAGTTAAAATAGTATAATTGGTAAGGCAGGCATTCAGATCCAACTTTAGAAGTTGAAGAATGTCGTTTAAATAAGTCCCTGGTTAGAAGTTATTTAATGTTTTCATTTAATACTACTAAGAAGAGAGAAATTGAATGGATTGTTTACTAGTAACACATAAGTGGTGGATAGTTAACAGTTTATTACTCTTGTAGTCATGCGAGGAAGCATCCTTTTTCAGTGAAGTAGTGGTGGAGTGCTTTGTTAGTATTGATGGTATATTTGACGGCTTTGTTTGGCATATGTAAACTCATGGGGTTGAAATTGTTTACAATTTAGTTCCAATCATATATCAAATATAGTATATTTCCCTTTGCATACTCCAGAAATATATAGTGTTGCCTTTTCCGTACATCTTGAGAATTATGGAACTTCGTAAATGTCCACACATTATGGACACATTTTTGAAACAAAACAGTGGCAACTCTAACATAATTGGATTGATATCAATCTCATTATCTTTCTATTTACTCATGTCTACTCCTACCATTGTCTTTTTATTCTGCATATTATCTTTTTTGCTCCTTGAATTCATCCTGTTGGCAATTATTGACACTTTAACAGGCCTCTTCTGTTGGTGTGGGATATTGATGTGTCTTCTACATGATTCGAACATGCACAAAACATGTTTAAAATTTCTTTCTTTGAGAGAAAAACATTGTGGTAGGAAATTGTCTCATGGACACTTCAACATGGCCAAGCCTTGCAAACGTCATTGCATGGATGTCAGGACGGCTGTTCTAACGCCCTTTTAGCTCTAGAAGATTTGTGGCTGGAGCAGGCTATGACCATTGGTGCACACCAATGAATGCTGCTTGCTGAAACAATCAGTTGATTCTTTTTTGTGTGATGAGCATTTAGAATACAATTTTTAAAATAATTTAAAATAAAATTTGATATTTTAAATGATATTTGTTCTTGATTTTAACATTACTGTGTTTATATAGTCCGTATGTGCATTCATGCATGCCTCTGGAACATCATCTGCTTATTTGTGTGTATACCATAAATTATCCTTCAACGATGTTCTTTATGTGTAATGCATGTCTTATTTTATCGATGGTTTCTATTTTCCAAATTTCTGTAATATAATCTCTTATTGACGTTAGTGTTTCATAGTCCAACCACATGTGAGCTATGGTTTCAATATTGTATGACTGGATGTTGACCCATATATTAAAATACGCACAAAAGGTGGAATAATCGGCGATTTAAGTGTTAGCGTAGCTTGTCACTTGAAAGGTCAAATAATATCCGATTGCCAAACGGACTGCGCTGTTGCAATCAGAAAGTCGAATTTGCCTATGTGGAACCACCTTACAATCAAATCAAACAAAAACTGCCGAAATTGACTACCAACTTCCGAAATCGATGCACAACATTGTTCAAACAACGTCCTATCGTGAAACGGACTTCGTCGTTGTTTTCGAAGTATCAACAGTACCCAAAATCTAACGCCTTCTACACTAGCCGCATATCTGGTCTGACTTCCCACACCCTCAACACCTCTAGCTAACTTCAACAACCAATCATATTCTCCAACCTACACAGCAACCTATCGCCTCTCCTTATCATTAATAGACTCAAGCACCTCCCTCACCCAAGTTTCTTTCACAATATTTCTTCTCCACATAAACTGCTAGCACTCTCACATCTCATACGATAACCCACCAAACTAACCCCTCTATGATTATTACTATCAATTGTTATTGTTAACTATTATAAATTAGTTATATTAATATTAATATCACCATTAATATTAATATTAATATTATTTTTATTAGTACAATTTAAAAAAAAGAAGATAATAAAAAAAGCAAATAGAGAAAAATAGAAAAAAGAAGAATCTTTTATTCTGATTTTCGCGCCGACATCACTGCTGACACTCGCTCAGGTATAATGATTTCTAACCCAGAAAATCCTCAAATCCTATTTTTGGCGCTTGCGGCGTACCGAAAAAATCACATATACACATTTTTCTCTAGCTTGGTGGGAGGGAATTCGGCGCGATATTTGGGGCGAGGCGGGGATGCGCTTTACACGCTTTTTTCTAACATGACGCGGACAACTCTAAGTACTCATACATGTGCTTAAACGCCTGCGAGAAAAGAACTGTGCATTTCAAACATGTACTACAGAAGTCCCATGCACACCTTTTTTTGGTGTGATGGGATTGAAGACTACGGCCGTGGTGTCGCCCGACACCTATTATACACACTTTTCTCTAGTTTATTACAAGGAAAACTCATTAATAGAAGTATAAACTAACAATGAACCCAATCATTTATCGGCAAGTAAATAAAGTTAACATTGTTCAACCAACAAAATAAAATTTCCCATAAATACTTCAATAATGGCTGTATTGATGGAAGATCTAAATCGGAGGGGACCCTAAATATTCAAATGCCTCCAAAACGCACATGAAAATTAAAAAAAAAAAAAAAACCAAAATCTAAATATTTAAAATTGAAATAAATCACAAAAATGCTTTAAACAAAGTACACATCCACCCTCCACAATAGTTTGCAAGGTGGACAAATTTGAAAATCATTTTAGCTCACAAAGAACAAATGTCTTATCAAAAATATCACTAGGATTCATTTTCAATCATTTTTTTACTAGTAAGGATGTGACACTTGTCCTCTAATCGATAGTTTTGTTGCCAAATGACACCACAGGTAAACGATTATGATCGGGACCCTTTGACCGGGTTGTTTTTCCTTTAAATAAAATAATTATATTACGATCATGGTTAGAGCCAACATGTTCCACAACAGTTTCAAAACCTTGAGCGATAAATCAATATGATATAATTGATACGCACAAAACCCTCTTTTAGTTAAGGTGATTCATCTGCAGAACACTCTTGTTATTGTCCAGTTGGGACGAGGCGCTAGCATTTAGCTAACTAATATTGTCATCAATATTGGCAATACTAGAGCCACCATCTAATTTGGTGGGGTAAAATTGTCTACAACTACTGCAAGGGCTGCTAATATTCCAATGTTCATCATGGATTATGAAGGGTCTGCCAGGAGAGCTCTTTCTGCTAGAACCACTGCACCTCGCACGCATCTGTCAACGAAGCGGGCTACCACTACTGAAAATCCTCATCATAAGAGGATTTCTAATTTTGAGAGGATGTCTCAGCCAGAAACCCTAGCTACGAAGAGGGTTGTAGTTGGTGGAAGGATTTTTGTGGTTTTTGTTAACACCATTGCTTTTCCAAACGAGCTTGTCGTGTTTGAAGGCACAACGCTGGCACTTCCTCATATGGAGTAAAGCTAACCAGAAGGCAGGGAAGGAAGAAGAATGCAAAGCTTCAAGCGTAGCAACTATCGCCTGTTCACCCCTCCACGCTACCAGCTCAAGAGCCAGAAGTGAATGACCCATAATAGATACACTGATTTGAGATGGGTGAAGAGGAATTACTCTACCGGTGAGCTAAGAAAGTCATTCTAGGAGCACAAACACCAGGCTCTAGTCCCCTAGAAAAGGGGACTTGAAACCCTATCCTCCCAAGTCAAAGTGTTGAAGGTCACGAAGGAGAAGGGGCTGAAAAAAAAGGGGCAATGATAAGCTCCACTCGGTGAGCATCTGGGTGTGACACCTGAACTGCGTGTTCAGGGATCCACCGCCAGAAGTTCCTGGTAGAAAGTAAGTCTAGAGGCCTAGACCTCATAATGAGAAGATATTTGCAGAAAGTCTAGATACGAGCATGACATTAGTGCAGCTTCCCGGAGATTCACCCCCATTGACAAAATTTGTCAGGTCCCAAAGAAGGCCCATGATGATGACCAGCTTGATGGTCGACACCTTGTAGAATCCTTCAGGGGACCCGTCATTTGCCGATTACACCAATGATGAGGTCAACTTCGATCACAGCCTGCGAATCAAAGAAATTTTCCTGCCGAATAATAAACCAGAGATCCAGTGACGATGTTGCTCGGAGATCCGAATACAAGAGGAAGATGATGAAGAAGATAATATGGACATTGAAGTGGCCTACATGGTAAGGCATGACAGTGATGAAGACGATGATGATGGGAAGCCGCCACCATCCAGACAGACATATTGATGCCACTACTAGGCTGGATCCATCACTAGTAGAGGTGGCTACTCAGAAAGAAAGAGAAGAGCCTGAAAAAATCCCTTTGTCGCCAACAATGTCACACTAACAGATATGCAAAGATAGATGAGGTGGCAAATCTAGGCAAAAGATAGGAAGATCTCAGTTGAATGAAAAATGACTGAGATGATGACCCAGATAGGCAAGGGTCGACCCTATCTAGCAGAGTACAACCAAATGCCATATTTGAAGAGGTATTCTATCCCAAAATTTAATACTTTCAACGGTAACTATAACCCCAAGCAGCATTTGGCGCAATTTAAAGCTGCTTGTGATAATACAGGGGGAAACAACAGCTTACTCTTCCGATGGTTTGTCAGCAATTTGACTTCAACTTTTTTGAATGGTACACTAAACTATCAAACGATTTTATAAAGAATTTTGCAATATTGGAAGCCTTGTTCGTGAAGAGGTTCGCCAGCGCAACCAAGAAGCTAATTGTTACTAACCTCGCCTCAAAGAAACGAAAGAAAGATGAGCAAGTGACCAAATATATAAACCACTGGCACAATGTGAGTATGAAGTGTGAACAATAGTTGAAAGGTAAGCATAACATTCAGTTATTAATGTGGAACATCAATGACAAGATTCAACCATTCTATTGCACGGTTTCCATCACCACCTTCCAAAATCTGTTGGAAAGAGTGGCGAAATTTGAAAAGTTGAGCTTATTAAAATTTGAAAGCCACTCTGATAAGTCTAAGAAGGCCAAAGCCCTAGATGCCAGAAAAAGTGAATCCTCTCCACGTTCTTTTGCAGGACTGATAAAAGAAGACAGGTGATGTATGGTTTTGATAAAGACAAAGGGAAATTTATAATATAGATAAAGACTAGCAGCCTATGCACTATTAGAACAAGCCAAAACAGGCTTACAACCCTAATACTCAGCCAAAACTATTATTGGGTGGAAATGGCAAGCCTCAGACTTTTCCTAGTGTGGGAGAAACTTGAAGGCAAACAATAGGAACATG